ACCAGTTACACAAAGTCTGCAAAGAAGCAAGGAGTTAAATCTTCTGCTCTCTGAGTAGGGGGCCTGGAGGGATAAACAGTCCTTGTAACATGAACAGCTTCATGAAAACAAGCAGGAAATGACCACTAAACAGCTTCAAACTTGTCAGCTTTTACAACTCAGCTGATGAGCTGGATCTACTGTTTGTAGACCAGGAAATGACACTCCACATCCAAACAAACCAAGGCATTTCAACCTTCTGCAAGTATGCTGGTCACAGCCAAGTGGGAAGCTAACTTACTCTCTGCATGTTAGGCAGAGATTAAAGCTCTCAAATTATTAGACATTTTAACCACCTTTCATTTTTTATCCCTGAATATGTACGTTCTACAATCACTTCCATTAGCAGTGTCAGATGAAACTGATGTAAGAAACATGTTGTAACATGAATATTTTCCAATGCTGTTTAGACCTTTGTGTTTGTTATTTAAGACTTTACTTAATCCTGGTGGTTTGTTTTTTTCCACAGAAGCATATTACAGATAATCTGTTTTCTTTTTCTCCTTCTGTATGTTCCAGGTTCTACAATCTTAAAGCTTCTTCTTTCATTCTCCATTTTTCACTATTACAGTTTTTTTTCCTATCCCTTTCTTAACATCATCCCTACTCTCACCGTTATAAAACATCAACCCTTTGCTAGTCACTGCATGAAAAAAAAACAAAAACCCAGCCATCAAAGATGTCCTCACCAACAAGTCACTCTCCATTTGATTCCCAGACTGCCTGGTGATCAAAATGTAAAAAAACCCATGAAAAGTATATTCCTGACTTTGCATAGCATACAAACTGCAGTCAGAGAAGCTCTGGAGATGGAAGCATTCATATGTAAAAATGACATTACATAAATTTAGCTTATTTCAGTTAAGAGTTAGATCCCTCTCCTCCAAGTCCGAATTCACCATAACTTAAACTAGGAGTATTCTTTCTTTTTCTCTTGGGCTGGTTTTGCTGTGTTTGGTTTTGTTGTGGGTTTGTTTCGGTTGGGCTTTTTTGTAGGAGTGGCACAGGGCAACACCATAAGTGGATGCATACAGGTCTGTAGTAGAAATGTGACAAGTGATGAAAAACTGGAAGTTTTTCAAGATGTTTTTATGACAGCATCTACTGGTCTAACAGAATATTTTTCTTTGCTCTACAAACTGCCTTTTGTTAGACCATAACACCTTCTCTGTGTGCATGCCAGGTAATCTCAACTCAGTTTGGGGGTCCTTTTTGAGGCTATGGCTGAAATTTAATTACTGATTTTAAAGACACATGAAGCAGTTCCTTCTGAAGTGAGACACCCTGGTCTTCAAGGAGAAACAGTACCAACTACAAAAGCATACAGCACAAGCTGGTTAAGTGCCAAGATGAACAAGTTTTTTAAAACTCAGATTATTTTTAACTAAACTTATGTCATAATCTAATCAAAGCATTCAAGTATGGAGTGGTGCACTTTCATTCAAATGGAGACATAAAAAATTATACTGATGGATGTCACCAGCTAAGCACCTGGAACCAGAGTTTGCTGAGATCTAATGGATCTTCGGATAGTAAAAGTGTTCTGGCTGTGCAGAGATGTTGTGGTCATCCCTTTGCATCACTCAACTGCACTTACCATACTGTATCCTGGTCCTCACAGCAGCTACTGGCACATTGTATATTTTTTCAAGGTAATTCTTGACATCTATTCTCGTCATTCTAGGCAATGCAAAAATATGTTGGGAAAAGAAAGATGGAAAAGTATAAATATTTAAATAAAATACAACAGAGGCATAGTATTTACAGAGTGGTTAATACTCAGGAATAAATACATCTTCTACTTTTAAGAAAGGTAGCTCCAGTGCACAAAAGTATAAACTCAGCATAGATCGCACACTGCTACAGCAATTCATTATCCATAAAATGTAACAATAACAAATATTTTATCCTTTCCAGCCTCAACAGTCAAAATCCCAGATATAGTCCTTGTTCAGCAATAATAGGTAGCCTTTCTCACTGTCTGACCCTAGAACCCTTTCTAATCTTCTGAACAGCAGTTTCCAATCTTTCCAAGACCTGCCACAGGCCTGTGGATTTTAGTGTGTGCAACCAGAGTGGTCAGGCTGAAAAAGTACTCAGAAATACCTGGACATCACCTTGTTTCCTATGGATCCTCTTATAAACACTTCCTTCTTCCTACGCCCACCCCTGGGAAGGCTGAGCCCCATTAACTCTGAGGAAGAGGAGCACACCAAAGCTCATAGTTAAAACAGTAAATCCAGGCTCTCTAAAAGTTCTCTCTGAAACAGAAGACCCTTCCCCAGGCCCAAAGGGCGCTATGTGGCACCTCATCTTCCCACCCCTATTAAGACAAGCTGCAGCCCAAAGGGCAGTGTGCCGTGACGGGCGGCACTGCGGGGAAGGTGTGTGTTCCTCTGTACCCGAGGGGCAGCCCTAAACCCTTTCCGCGGCAAGAACAGCGCCATACGGTGCCCGGTCCCCGCACTCACTCCATGGAGATGCGGAACTGGACAGTGTCCTCGGGCTGAGGCACGCCGGGCCGCACCGCCTGCATGAAGAAGTTGGGCCGGAAGATCCGAAGCTGCGGGCCCCCCAGCTGGAACAGCGGGTACCTACGGCGACACGACTCCAGTGACCGACCGACCTACCGACCGGCACCCCTTGCAGCCGCGCCGGCCCGGCCTCCCCCCCACCACAGCCCACCCCGGCCTCCCACCACCACAGCACAGCACAGCACGGCCCGGCCCGGCCCGGCCTCCCACCACCACAGCACGGCCCGGCGCGGCCCGGCCAGCTCTGCTCACACGGCCCTCTTGGCTCCTATCTTTGCCATGGCTGAAGCTCGGCCCGATAGCGGTGCGGCGCCAGAGAGGCTCCCGGCGGAGAGGAGACGGCAGCTCTCGCCCCCTGCTGGACCGGAGGAGCGCGGTGGGGGAGCCTGACGCGATCATGGCGGCCCCGTCCTCCCAGGTGCCCCGCACGAAGATAGCTCGACCGGACCGCCGGCCCTTGGGCCCACTCGAGAGGGCAGAGGAGGACCCCTCAGAGGAGCCGCAAGGGCGGGGAGGTGGGAGGTTAGCACCTGCACAGCAGTGCCCATGTGGGACTCGGCAACCGTGGCTGCGTTTCTGGAGGTTTTTTGCTCGTGTGAGACCCCAGCAGGGGTGATGCGGCCAGCTCGGGAGTCCCCAGCACAGAACAAGCATGGGCCTGTCAGAGGAGGGCCACGGAAATAGTGGGAGGGCTGGGATGCCTCTTCTGCAAGGGAAGGCAGAGCTGGTGCTGGTCAGCATGGGTAAGGCGCTGGGGAGACCTGATGACGGCCTGGAGGGGGCTTAACCAGAGAGAGGCTTTTTACCAGGGGCTGTCGTGACAGGACAGGGGGCAGCGATTTTGAAATGAGAGGAGGTTTAGGTCAGAAACAAGGAAATGACTTTTCGCGATGGAGGGGGTGGTCAGGGAAGCTGTGGATGTCCCATCACACTGGAAGTGTTGAAGGCCAGGCTGGCTGCAGCTTTGAATAACCTGGTCTAGTGGAAGGTGTCATAGAATCATAAAATCAACTAGGTTGGAAAAGACCTTTAAGATCATCAAGTCCAGCTGTTCCCCAGCACTGCCGAGGCCACCACTAAATCGTGTCACTGACGGCCTCATCTACATGGTTTGTGAACACTTCCAGGGACGGTGATTCCACCACTGCCCTGGGCAGCCTGTGCCAATGCCTGAGCACCCACTCAGTGAAGAAATTTTTCCTAATATCCAATCCAAACCTCCCCTGGCACAACTTGAGGCCGTTTCCTCTTGTCCTTTCGCTTGTAACTTGGGAGAAGAGACTGACCCCACCTCACTGCAACCACCTTTCAGGTAGGTATAGAGAGGGGTAAGGTCCCCCCTGAGCCTCCTCCAGAGTAAACACCCCAAGTTCCCTCAGCTGCTCATAAGATTTATTCTCCAGACCCTTCACCAGCTTTGTTGCCCTTTTCTGGACCCGCTCCAGCACCTCAGTGTCTCTCTTGCAGACCCAGAACTGAACACAGGATTTGAGGTGTGCCCTCACCAGTGCTGAGTACAGGGGACGGTCACTGTCCTGGCCCTGCTGGCTATGCTGTTTCTAATACAGACCAGGATGCTGTTGTCCTTCTTGGCTGCCTGGGCACAAGCTGGCTCATGTTCAGCAGCCATCAGTCAGCACCCCCAGGTCCTTTTCCACCAAGCAGCTTTCCAGCCACTCTTCCCCAAGCCTGTAGCATTGCAAAACTGTCACTGCCAGTGGTATGGTGGTTGGAACTAGATGATCCTATGAACATATGATGGCATAGCATGCACTAACAGAGAGACAGAATGTGAACATAGGCACCAGAAACAGCCACGAGTTTGGAAACATGAGGAAAACATTTTGGAAACATGATGGAAACCCTGGTGGACTTGCTTCCAAGAGGGCATTTCAAGGATTGGCAAAAGGCAAGAGGCCCTACAGAACAGCTCGCATCCCAAGTATAGTAACATCCATTTGTGTTTTGACATCTACACTGAATTAACCAAGTAATTCACACTTTAGTATTGGGCTTTAATATTATATGTAGGTTGATAGCCTTGATAAACATTTTGATATAAGTATTTGAATTAATCATTCTCTGTATTCTACTGTGACTTGTCTGCATTTAAGAAATGCTGTGTGCTGAAAACTACCACTTCTATGGATTTGCTTCTTACTCATGATTCTTTGATTCCCTCCATTACTCAAACTTTTAAGTCAATTTCAGTGGTATTTGGCATCCAGGTTACAAGCTCCCCCAGAACAGCCAGCTTGTATGGTGGCTGTAAAATAGGCCCCCAGTCCTGGATCTTTGTTGGTGATACTGAGCCTCATTCCCAGTTGTAGAGCTGGATCAAATGATATTAAAGGATTTGTAGCAACTCCTAAATCCTTGCAAAATTGGATGCCATTAAATAAAGTGTGAAACACTGTTCCAGAAGGCTGTTATTGGAGTAGGTACTAGTTGTGCTTTATTTACAAAATCCAGAGATTTGTACACAGCAATCTACAGGACAGCATAGGGATGGTATCAGGAGGATAAATGACATGCTCAGCAGGAATTGAAGATGCCAGCAAGGAGTCATTTCAGTTCCACAGGGAACCTGCTTCCTTTTGACTGAGGAAGCCGACAGACCCCTCCAGGAAGAAAAAGAAGAAAAGCAGCAGCAATAGCCAATGCAGGCTGATGTTGTGATTTTTGTTAGCTTTGATGCGTAGGAACACAAGTAATTGGTGACGGAAGAAAGAGGAGACCAGCAGGGTTTTGGCACTCCACTAAGGGCCATCCTGCCTGGTTCTTTACTTCCAGCGCCCGCCAACCTTGCCCTTTGGTGGTCCTGCCTTCTTGCTGATATAATACAAAAGGAAAGAAAAACATGTTAGCGTGGTGGAAGCAGTGGGACTCTGTGACCACTTGTGCATTTCTGACTCTAAGATTAGGTTTGAGCTGCTTTCAGTTCTCACATGTTGGGCACACTTGCCATAGAGCATGCCCTGAGAAAAATACTGTTGCTATTGTGGGAACGGACTCCTCCTCAGGCTTTCAGTGAAAGGCCAGGTTGTGCATGCCTGAAAGGGGTGAACCCTTCCAGATTCCTGCGTTATCACAAGAGAAGTCTGTCTAGTCTCAAAACTAAATGGCTGGACTATCCAGCCACAGACTTGATGTGTCCTGAATACAAATCTGCTATTTTAGGGTTTAGAGCTTTTTCTGGATAAAATTTCCTCATTATCAGGAAGGTCTGGACAAATTTCCCAGATGCTCTAGTCATCTAGTAGTGGAGGCAAAAAGCCGAGCAATAATTTAAATATGACTAAGAATTGCTTTGCTCTGGTAAAGGCAGAGTGGCTTCTTCCTTATATGATGAGAGCAAGAGCCTCCAAAACAGTCCAAACAACTTTTTAGGCCTCCCTCATACCAGTGTCCCCATCTTGTTCATGACATGTGTGGGATCAGTCCAGCTACACTCCTCACACAAAGCACCTGGGGCAAACTGTCCATATAGACAGAAGGGCAATCCTACATGCAAGCCACTTACCTTCTGACCAAGAAGCAGGCATGCCTGGAGTCAAAGGGGCCAGGCATGAAGTTAGTTGAGTTAGATTCTACACTGGCTCCCATGGGCAGCACCTTGGCTTTTGGGGCTCAGCACACCACCAGACCTTTCCATCTCACACACATGATGATGAGGCTGTTTCTTGAACCAAAGCTCATGCAAACTGGGGGCAGCTCTTTGCCACATCAGAGAAAGGGGTTGGGGCACAAGGTGGTAGAGCCTTGCTATCAACAGAGAGGCCTTCTTCAAAACCACTCTTTCCTCCAGGAAGCAGAAAAAAGATATGGACAACACATCTGGGGAGATTTTTGTAGGGCTGCCCCATGAATTGGTTCAAGAGCACTAGCCATATTTACAGAAGGATGTAGCACAGTGACACAGACATACATATAGTGGATACTTTACCTTTTGACTAAGTTAGACTCGGTCGATTTGAAAAATTGACCTTTTACAAGACAGAGAGCAGAGCATTTTCTACTTCTCTTAAATTCATCTTAGTGGCCCATTTGCCAGCCTTTCTGCAGGTTCAAAACCCAGTATGGACATGTGTAGCTCCTCAAATGAAGGCAGAGTCCTTTTATCTCCACAAGCACCTGTGATGTTTGATGTTATGCCTAACCTTTCAGAGTGTGCTTAAAGAGACTTAATAGAAGCAAAGGATCACTTGATCCTTGTATAACACATTCAGCAGGCACTGCTTTGGAATGATAGCATCTAGTGTGGGTACAAATTTAAGTACACAAAAATCTCATGAGCTGTGGGCTTCTCAGTGCAACCTTTTCAAATTATGTCCTAAGATGGTATCATGTCTTTCGGGGGGATAAGCATGGTACAGTCTGTTGTGCATGGTGTGGTAGTGCCCCTCAGAAGAGCAGAAGCACCCAGACAAACCATATGATATCATTCTGCAGCTGCACATTCTGGTGAGGTTTATCAGCCTACAGCTGTTTACAAAAAATAACACGGGAAGGTCAAGCTGTATGTTTGGCATCTACAGACAACTGAGGCCCTAGCTTTACATTTATCTGATAAGCTGGGGTGGCTTGGGGAAGTGGGAGGCAATGTCTGGTCACTCCTATAATCCGAAGATGTCACCAAAGACCACCACTTCATTCCTGACATGACTTTCCTAAGATGATACAGAAGCACGGTGAAGATCACCACTGGAGAGCTCTCTTCTCTTGCTTCCCTGCAGTTTGTTCTCTATGTCTGTTAGTTTTCTACACCCCTAGCCCTGAGACTCGGTCTAGCCAAGTCTCTCGTAAGTCCACTGTAGAACAGTTACAGATACACAACTCAAAACTAATGAAATAGAAGTCTTGCAGGGGAAAAAACTGAGGGAAAGATGATGAGTGACAAGAACACACAACAGTAATCCCATTATGTTAGTCTTGTTACACACCATTCCTTATAATCTTAGCAACCACTTGTTTACCCTTTGTAAACAAAGGTTGTATTCCCTCAAGTATTCAAAGCACCTCAGTCAGGTGTTTGAAAACCCCAGCAGTAAGCAGATGGAAATCTTGCAGACATGGTGTGAAGAAACATTATTTTTTTTGTTAGCTGTTACATTCACTTCAGTTTCCCCTTCATTTTCGCAATGTGAGGCAGGATGGTAGTTGCCCTTCCATCTCTAGCCTCATTTCATTGCAATAAGAAAATGTTGGTGTTGAGGCTGAAGCGACTACTTTGAACACTGAGAAGATATGCCCAAGCCAGGAGCTTGGAAGGTACTTACTGCTTCTGAGCCTGATCGATCCGGTTCCTGAGGGTGACAATCTGCAAACAACATACATGACCAGGGTTTTTAGAGATAAAGAAACCTTGTTCCCTCATGGAGAGGGGAGTTTTACCTGCTGATGCTGGAAACAGGTAGCTGAGGTAAAGATTAATACTTCCTCGGAAATAAAAGCTCACCCTTGCTTGAAGGAGAGAATGTTGCTCCTTGGCAATAAATCTGCAAGCCAATTTGATGCATCCAGGGAAAGAGGAACGAGCTAGAGTTTTATAACCCTTTTATATGTTCTGACATATACAAATTAATCTCCTATAAACTCATATGCCAAACTGCAGGCAAGCAAACTGGAATGAGTGTCACCCTGGCCAGCTGGAAAGCTCTTGGATGACTCTATCACTTTACTTTCCCACTGTGCTCCTACTCCTACACATTAAGAAGTGTATAATCTCAAAGAGCTTCAGTGGTTTTTGGATGGAGACCTCAAGAATGGAAGATAGGTTTCAGTTACCAACCTCCCAGCAGCTCATTTAATAAGAAAAGATGACTTTTACAGGGTCTAAAGAAGAAAATACTCAAGAAGAGCTTCAGCAACCACAAAGGAAAAGATTGAAGTGGGGGCTCTGAAGACCTTCCCCAGGTCTGTTGATGACTGAAGGCCACTAGAGAGTCTGTCTTACAAGATGGAACATCTCTTAGTTTAGCCATGAGTAAATTTCATATTCCAGCCTGATGCGTGGGAAAGTAAACACGTACCTTGCACAGGATGAACCTTATGGTCTGACTTACCACCTCAGTCCTGGCCAATAGCCCTGGACTCACTACTGAAAACCCTAGGACTGTCCCAGCGGAGGTACTGGAAAAACCCACAAGAACTAGGGTGTGATACAAACCTCTCTTTTGCCCCTCAAACTTCTTATTTGTAACTGAGTCAGGGTTCTGCCTAGCTTTCCTGGGGTAGAAAAATGCACTTGCCAAGACATACGCTTTGCTTCTGCTTTTGGCTCTACAAGTCCAAGAACTGATGACCCAACATTTGAGTATTTGAAGTGATGTTTGACATTCTCAAGTCCAAAACAAGTAAAAACAAAAGTTGTACATTCCAATTGGCCTGACATCCAGTCTTTCATGGCTCATTTCTTTCCATGGCAAACAGAAACAAAGTAAGAGACTGGAACATTAGCAGGAACAAGACAACACAAGGAATAATTATCAGCATATCACCTGCTTTTGTACTTACTCGTGAAAGTTTTGGTATCTGCTGCAGTGGTTTAAATTATTGTTTGCAACCAAGTTTTTCTCCCAAGTGTGGAGGAGGACCAGCTGTCACCAGTTTGACCCAAGGACTTAAGACTTACCTTCAGTGATAACTGTGATAGTGACTATAACACTGACTGTCCAATGAAGCACCAAAGAGCAACAGGCACTAGAGCTAAAGAACAGCTCCGCCCCTGTGTGTCCCAGTTCCTTCCTTTGTCTCTCCCTTGCATACTTGCTTGTATCTCTTTCATTCTCTTTGCTGTTCTCACTTATCTCTCTCCTCCCTTTTTTTCCCTGCCATCATCTTCCCTTTGGTTTTCTCCCACTTTTTTTCTCCCAACTCAGCTGTGCATTTTCCTTCTACTTTGCTCATTCTTTGTACTTTCTCCCCTTGCTTTTCATCAGCAGCCACCTAGCTTTTTGTTTATGCAGAGGCTTCATTACCATAGCATGTAAATATTCCCTGGCATTGCTTTAATTCCTGTTTTCCCACACCCAATTGACTGTTACCAATATTTTGGATCTGGATAAGCATGTGCCACAGGGTGGAAAATCCTTCCAAAGCCCATACCATTCTTTTCTGTGAAGTCCAAGCCTCTGCATGTATCCCAGGTACATCAGGGTGATTCTCACACACACGCAATACCAGAGGTTTGGATAGGGTATTATTTTAGAGATGGTCTGAGTGGGTTGCATACTCTATTCTTTAGCCACATCCTTGTTAGACCCTGATTCTTTTCCCGAATCACCATTTCAACTCTTTTCAATGAATGGAAGGGGAGAGAAAAAGGAAGGGAGAGACACAAGATCCAGTTTTCTGTTTTCTCTCTGCACTTGAAGCCAAGCACCAGTTTCTGCCTGGCACTGGGCCTCTGACCATGCGGCAGGCTCATGCATTTGGTAGCCTTTGCTGCTGCGGTTACACAGGCAAATTCATTGTACTTACAATTTGGAAAGCTCCTGCAGCCTGCAACGCATTGTTAAAAGCTAAGAGAGATTGAGAGAGTTACAATGATGTTGTTCATTCCCTGTCAGTATGTGTCTGTGTGTGATTGAGCATTAAAAGGAGAGTGAGACCGAGATCCAGTAGGATTTCTCAGCCACTGAATCTTGACGTAGGTGATTGCGGCCCTGTCCTGTGACTGTGAAGGAAACACGTCCACTTTTTGTTACCATATGACACTTCAGCCAGATGCTCCTGTCTGGAGACTGTTTTCAGTGACTCCAGAGAGCTCAAGTCCACAGGGAATCTGTCTGGGATGGGAATAAAACTTACAACGTTCAAGTATGAAAGCAAAAATGGATTTAAAAATATTACTTTGCAATAGGGATGAGTGACTTGAGATCCATTGAATTTTCAGGCCACTGTTACCAATAGTTAAACAAGAATGAGCAACATAACGTTTGAGCAGAGAATGGGGAGTCCATTTTCCATTTGGATTGCCTTTGCATGGGGCACTGAAATCCTTGAGAGTGATTTATTCAATTTTAGCCTAAAATGTGAAATCCAGACCAAGTATGTATGTAAGGGGAATGCAGTTCCAGATGTCTTGCTGCTTAAATACTGCAAAAGGGCATTGGAGACCCAAATGATGTCACCAGATGGCTTTTGCAGGAGGAGTCACAGAAATGTTTACATTTTGGACCCAGAGCCATTAGCAAAATGGCTTCTCAACTCACCTCATATTTTTTCCTCTTGATCTGTTCTGTAAAGTCATACTTTTCAGTCTCCAGCTGGTATAACCAGTCCCACAGTTCCTTAGCCTTGTCCCTGTGTGTTTATGGGGAAAGGAGGATGGGAAAAGTACATCACATCATATATTTTCTGTAGTTTTTATGGCACTAGTAATGAGACTATTTAGATTTTATTCAATGTAGTTCACATATCTTCCTGCAAACCCTTTCCATCTCTGAAAGCTACTCACCATTTTCACAGTCACATTTTTCTCGCCTTCTCACCTTTTATACTTGCACTGCTGCATGAGTCACACACTAACGCAGTTCCTATAGATTTAATTTCCTCTATAACTCTTAATGAAAGAAAAGAGTCCACATGGATCAGATGAGAAGGAAAGAGGACTCTGAAGGCCACTCAGATGAGCAGAGCAGCTGCCATTGTTCAATCTCATCTGGCTGAGGTAAGCCAACCTCATCTTCAGATATGTGTAAACTTCAGTGTGTGTAGTTCAGACTATCACCTGATGACTGCTCTGTCTGCACCAGAGCAATCAGCTCCCAAGCCTCCAGCCTTAGTGGAGATATGTACTCATACCTTAGCAGCAATAACTCCCCCGTTGGAAAGCTGCAGATACCAATCTATTTGTTTGTTCAACTAAACTCAGAGCTGGTTTTAAAGTTTGGACCTAGTTGGATAAATGAATAATTCTGATTAGCAGGAGAGGCTAATCGAGCTACACCAGGAGCATGGCTAGGTGGATACCAAACCATTTCAGCAATTCCCCACATCTCCATTTCCCCACCATTCTCCAGGTCAAGGAAGGGCAAAACTTAACATTGTTCGTGATGAATTTCAAGGAAGACACTCTCCTCTATGTCCTCCTTTCACTAGGGAAGTCTTCATGACCATAAGACCGAATTTCAGTGGATTACATTCAGTAAGTTAGGATAAGCATGTTACCTCAGCTTATCTTCACTAAGATGGTCGATGTTCAATGGCTTGCGCCTCTCTGCCAGGACCTTCTTCTTTGTCTCTCTAGCTGTTTGCTTCTTTCCTCTCTTCTGATCAGCCTATTTTCAGAACATCAGTTAATGTCATTGCAGAAATTCAGCCTGAATGAAACAGTCTCAGTGACAGAGCGTGTAAGACAATGTGCTAGGGATCCAGAAGAAGGGAATTTGAGCTCTTTTCTCAAATTGTAATAAAGACTCTTCCCACTCAACCCTGTGGTTTAACTATTCCATATTTCTTCCTCCAATCCATGCTTTTTACCTTAGTCAGATAGCTGCTGTATGTGGCACCCATGGAGGACAGAGCCTTTTTCTTCTTGAGATCATCCTCAGCTTTTCTTTTGGCATCTTCTTCCTCTCTCCGTGCCTTTTCCTCCTGTGGAGTGCAGACACACAGAAGCAGCAAGTTACTCTAGGGGAGACTCACAGCTTCCGCAGCAGCCACTTTCACTGCAGAGAATGTGATCAGGTAAGCATGTTAATGAGAATTGGCAGCTCCTGTTTCCTGCCCCTGCTTTAAGGGTGATCATTTCTTCTTTGGACTGAGACAGGCAGAAGCTGCAGGTTTTTCTGTCTCTAGAGATCACCTTCAATTTGATGCTGAGACAAGGAGAGAGATGCAAAGACACTTACCGCAAGCCTTGCCTGACGCTCCTTCTCCTTCTCAGCCCGGATTCTCTGTTGCTCTGCTCTTTCAGCTCTACGCTTCTCCTGCAAGAGGCAGTGGCAAAGGCATTGAGTCATCACTGTGGCTTTATCTACCTCCAGTATTACGCCCCACCGCCCAGAGCTTTGATTTGTAGAAAGTGAGCCACCTACTCCCTTGCCAGAACATACAGAAGGGTCCCATGTGCAATTCCGAGGTGTAAAACAAGAGGCTGAGAGAGGAAACAGGTAGGGGTAGAAGCCATTTGTTGTTGACTAGAGCAGCCACTTCTGTACATAGCAATACAGCTTTCTGCCGAAGTCTGACTGTGGACTAATGGAATCTCACCTACAGAGGATTTCTTACTCTAGTACAGGGAAATGGCAGACTCACAATTCTCTCCTTGAGGGCAACCAGCTCTTCCTCTTCCTTTCTCCTGGCTTCAAAGTGGCTGTCAATCAAGGCTTGTAGTTCAATCAGGTCTTTGTTCTGCCTTTTCTTTTGGATGTCCTAGAAGAGCAGGAAAATGCAGTAAGTAAGCTGATATTGCTCTGTGAACATGCCCTGGACATTCCTAGCATCCTGCCTATACAGAGAAACAAAAGCAGAAAATGTCTGTAGATATCCATGGAAAACCATGGGATTAGCTTAAACAGCTGTTGATGAAGGTCAGCGACAGTCAGAAGCCCAGAAGGTAACAGAATCCATATCTCCTACCACACCGTGTTTTATCCCTGGCTTTGCTTAGCTACCTCCTCTTTGCTCTAAGATATGAATCTTACTTAGATATGTTCCTGCATTTTTGGCAAAGCAGATATTTCTGTGGAGATTTTCAACACCAGAGTATCTATCAACTTTCTAGGAAGGTACTTGGATCTCTGTCTATTACTGTCATTTTAGGTAGTATTTCACAGAAACAGATGTGCATACGCCTGTTCTATTTCAATGTGCAACTTTCAGACCATTTACAACAATGGGACAGGGAATCTGAGATCTCCTAAACCACTGACTTTCTCCTTTCTTCATATATTAGCTTAAAATATTCAAGGAAAACAAAAAAAGAAATATATGGCTTTAGCTTAATCACATTATCAACAAATCCATCTGGAGAGTTTTAGGGAGCAGAGAGTAGTCTCTCACTGAAAACAGGTGGCAGAGCATTCATGCTTTTGGCCTTGACTTTATCCTCAGTAATATCCAATAGAAGATGAGTTATGCAGGTTTGCACACATGTGTATAGCTCAGGTACAGACAGACAAACACAGCCAGTTTCAAGAATACTTACATCAAAATCTACTTTCTCACCCTCTGGTATTTTAGGAGCAGTTAGTCTGCAGAGAGTCAAAACCAAAACAAACAAAAAAAGGAAAAAAAAGAAAAAGAGAAGGATTTGAATCTTAAAGAACGGGCGGGTTTTTAAATAGCACATCCTGCTCTGTCCTGCCCTCAGGAATGATGTTGACAAAGAAGAATGTTGATGGAGATACAGGGGGGTGAAGCAGCAAGTCACTGGAAAACTACTACAGGACAGCACTAAGGATCATTGTCCTTCATGGAAGGTCAGGCAGGGCAGGAAGTTACCCCTAAAAATGCTTCTCATTCCCAAAGCCTATGATCATTCCCTACCACACAGAAAGACATTGGTCCCCAAGGCTGTCAGCACAGTGCTGCGCCCTCCAGTCTGGGCAGCTGGCAGAGTGGGAAGGGAAGGTGCTGGGGCCCAGAGTCAGAAGGTCCATAGGAAACCTTAGTTAAACTCAGGTCATCCCACCCAGCATTTGCAGCCCTTCCTACTGTCAGCAGTCCTGGATAGATGGGTATTTTCCCAGCCATGGCCTCTCACGGAAGATTTACTGTTGTGTCACCTACTGTGGGACTGCTGTATCTTGGTCAATTCATGAGTCCTCTGACTCTGTCAAGAACTGGTCTCAAGACCCTGGCTGGTAACTACTGCTAAGGCATCCTCTGGCTGAAGCAGACATCCTGAAAGGGCATGCAGCAACAGCTGGATGTTGCGCAAAGGAGGTTTGGATAAAGGCTTATAGTGGCCATTTGCCTAATAGGCAATCTAAGGGCTTCTGCTAGATAAGAAAAATGATTCCAAGGTTTTGAAACTCTCTGCCCCTCATACTTACTTTATTCTAGGCCTCTCCTCTGTATTTGGAAACATGGCCCAAAACAGGAAGGGAAAAAGAGGGAGAACAGTTAGAACAACAGAGATTATACCAGCTGCTAAAGTTAAAAGAAGGGAAGGGAAATTTAATCTTAGGGAAAACATCCCAGAGAAACTGGTTAAATCTCAAGCACTTCCGAAAGAAATACACACACTCACATACCCCTTTTGCTAGGAGTGAATCTGTTTTTACCCTTGAAACAGAATTTGGCAGAAAAGAATCAAGAGACTGTATAGAAGTCCCAAGCATAGGATCTGGAAAGCAATGGTTTCATGTAAATATGAAATTATTTTTCTCAAACCACCCTGACCAAAGCTCTAAGGAGGACAGCTGGGCTGGAGGGTAGAAGAAAAAGTTGCCTTTTCCAAATCAGTACTTCTTTTGCTAACGTTAACCTGAATTAACAGTTGTGCTAATGATAACTAGGCTCCCACAGTTTTGATCAAGTGCCTTACTTGTAGGCCGGGAGGGAAAAAGCTTCATGACACACATTTTCCCCAGGTTCATTGACTCCCAGGATAGCTTAGGGCACACATCCCAGAGGTAAGTTGGTGCCATAGGGATGCTGCTTGTTCTTCTGCACTGTGTGGTGCTCCTCAAGCGCAACTTGGAAAGGCCATCCTCTCTTAGCAAGCATCCTCTCCTACTGAGGTACACGCAAAGTTCCCATAGGCATTAATGGGAATGATCTTTGCATCTCCAAGAGAGGTATAATGCCCTGATAGGTGGGCATCCCAGAGAGTGCCAGCTTGGGTCCTCTGGCAGTCAGCAGTGTTCCCCTGCAACAAGTGACCTTTCCCTGGCTCTCAGAAGTGTGCTGTCTTATGAGTTACTTGCTTAACATTTATGCTGTGATCAGTTCCCCTCCCTACTATGCTTTTTAAACTTTAGTTATTAACTCCAGTGTAATGCCAGTAAGTTCAGCACTGTTATTCTCACAAACAGAAGTAAATTAAACCTGTGTGTTTATTCTGGCCCAGTCTCACAGGGACTCAGGTTGACTTTCATAACCACACACTATGTTTGAACTTTCAGGATGCTGCTGGATCCTACAATACAAGACTCTCCCTGTGTTGGGTCAGTGGGAGGAACTGAGGTAAAAAGCTGACTGCCTATTGAATCTGGTATTAAAAAGAAAACAAACCCAGCAGCTTTTTAAAGTAAAACTAAAAGCAGCCTCCCTCAGAAGTGGGTACACAAGCCCTGCTATCCATATCATGATACAGAAAGCTATATTTTTCAAATGTTTATTTGCATCCAGCTATTTCGGGATTGATGGCGGAAATTGGGAATAGCAAATGGAACAGAGTAGGATAAAGTAAAAGAAAACATTGTAGGAAAAAATAGCAAAAACTGATATTGGAAAATATTTGATGGAGACCTCAATTATAAGGATGATGGATAATAAAAAATTAGAAAGTGCCTGGAAATGAGTTATTGGGATAATTAAGAAAAAAGATTTTAGAGGTGCTTAAAAGAGTTCAGAACCCAACCTTTCCTTTCTTTCACGCTTTCTCACACCAATTTCAGTAATGAAATTCTGGGGGGTAGACTTTCCTCATTTACTGCAAGATCACTGCCTACCAGAACAGATCTCAGCTGAAGCCTTTAGATGCTAGAGCAATGCTAATAACATGTAATTAAAAGAGTGGTGTAGACCACTCATATAAAGGAAGTCACAAGCCACTCCTGAAAAAAAAAATACCTTTAGCCAACAGCATACTTGTCTATTTCTCCAGTTATTTTATAAATTGTTTTGCCTTTAAATAGCCAGTGATCTTCTTAACACATGAGTTTAATTGTTTTCTATCTGGAGAAAGGAAAATGAACCACAATTAACCAGTCTATCAGGGATGTTATTCACACAGGATTCCCTTCCTTTATGATATACCCAGATAATTTTCATAAACATTCCTGTTTAAATTAAAACTGCCAGTTAGTTACACTTCAGAGTGAGGGGGGAGAAAAATTAGACAGGAAATGGCTGGGTTTGTTTGTTGACCTTGGTTGCCAGGATCAACACCTGTCTGTCAATAACTGTGCGAATTTGGTTTCAGCTGCCACCAAATCAGCACTCTGAGCTTACTTAAACCAACATACAATTGTAAAAAATAAAAATTAAGGTTAGTTTTGTTCTTAAAATAAGAAATTGCAGTTAGAATATTTAAAGGGACCTCCAGAAAACCAGAAGAGGGGACAACAAAGAAATAGAAGCTATTATTAAACAATTAACAGCAATAAATCTTTCCATTGCAGTGCATGACCCAGCCTCGGTCCATACTGTATGCACCAAAAGCAGCTCACGGATGTGATTTATTTTTAAATGCCCCTTCTTTCAAGACATTGAGTCAAGGAACTGGGCCAAAAATTGTTGACAAGCAGGAATTGTCATAGCAAATTCCTGTTCCTGTGGTGGATTTTGACTGACATTCCGGTCATTCTGCTGATGAACCATGGGGCTGTGACAAAATCCCCACATACAACCCTGCCAAAAGAAGGCAAGAGCCACTGGAAATCCAAGTACATTGCCCTGGTGTTTAGAGAGTCTGAGTTTCTGGTTTCCAAAAGGGTTAGCACAGGAAGAGTACACACCACCACAAATACAATATTGGTTTCTCCTGCCCTATCTATCAAATATTCACATGGTGCTCCCCTTTTCCGTGAATCCATCTGAATTGCCTTTACTTTGTTCAGAAATCCCTAATCACACTCCCTTAATCCCACTTCTCAGAAGTAACATATCTAACTCACACTGTGTCCTTGGGGGAGGATGAAGAAATCCATATGCTATTAAAAATAAAAGGAAGGAAAGAAAGAGAAAAAGAAGGAGAGAAAGGGACTCAGAAAAGGTCCTCAGGGTATTTCCCTAAGTAAGAAAAAAAGCCTGAAAAATGAGAAAGAAAAATAAAAAAGAAATGAACAAAAAGAAAAAATCTCCACACACAGAAAAAAAAACCAACAACCAAAACAAAACAAGGAAACAAGAAAATGCAGAGTGGTTTCACGTGGCGATGGGAAACATCTGGCCAGGTGTTGTAGGGGTTGGTGCAGTCAGAACACAACCGAGCTACTTCAAAGACCTGTAAAAGTCTGTGAGCATCTTTCTATATATTTAAAGTGGTTTTGAATTTGGTCCAGAGGTTCTCAGTTGTCTTGCCCGCCTACAACCACAAAACTGACTTTGCAAACATTTAGGTTTGGTCCTTTCACATGAGTCCTGTCCCCACCCATGTGCTCCAGTGCCCATTCAACCAGGTATTATGAACACGTTCTATTATGCCCGTGGCCTGCCCCACCAGTCTAAACAAATTTATTCACGTGCTTGATGTTTAGCACAATTTTAAGTGCATGGCTGAAGCAGAAGTTTAAATATCTGTACATTCAGGCCTGAAGACTATGACCTCCTAAAGTTAGTGAGGAAGGCACGTCTATGCAGGGCTCATCTCCATTTTCAAGTAGGCACTGAGATTTAAGAGACTTTCCTGATTTGGGGTGTATGGAGAAGGTTTACAGCTGAGAGCTATGACACAACAGGTCCTAGCTAAAAGACAAGTCCAGAGCAAGCTTTTAGAGCTTGGTTTTCACCATCTACTATCCTGATGAGGATGTACAAGCTTCTCTATACAACAGTGACACCCCTGAGAGTGATTGGATATGCACAGTGAGCAATTCTTTGTGGCAGAGATGTTTTGGCCCAGTTCCTGAGTTCAAAAACAAGTGAGAAACAAATACAAAAGTAGGAGTGAGATGTTAGAAAGATGACTTTGTTGTCCTAAGACAACACTGAACTACCATCATAGTATTCGCCGCCTTCATCAGCTGCAGGTTGAAGGATAAAAGCAAAAGAGAAGAAGTACAATAGTGAATCCATGACAAGCACTGTTCTCCTAAGAGCAACTGTCCCCACTCCCTCCCTTCTATGCTGGGAACTTTGGACTCTCTGGAGATTGAACAAGAAGAAAGAAGACCTTTTTGGTGGTTCAATTTGGCAAACATGCAGGCCTTTTCTCCATGTTCATCCAGAGCCATCTGAAGAGATCATTTCCCTCCCATGTTATCTTTGTTCTTGAACAAGGTCAGTGTTTTTAACACTGCTTCCCCAGCACTGAAAGAGAAAAAGGATGAGAGCCTGTAGGTGCATCACATACCTTCTTCAGGGGCTTCTTCTGCTGGTGTCATGGTGAAAGCAGTGATGGAAAGACAGGAAATAGAAAAAAAGAAGAAACAGAAGAGGTATTTAAAGGTCTTGGAAGCCTGAGAAAGAGACCAGGGAATGCATGAAGGGAGGCTGGGGGAATGAAGGAAGAAAAACAAAAAAAGGAATTAGTGAATTAAGGCAGAGAGAAAAGATCTGGAGAGTCTGTCAGGAGTTAAAAATGCTGTAAGGTTAAAATAGCAGTAAGCATGGAGATTAACGGAGAAAAGGGCTGCAAGTGATCACTGTGGTTAATATTTGTTTTTCTTGGTTTGTTCTCTTCTACCAACCCAGGACTCCTGTTCTCTCTCTCTCTCTCTCTCTCTCTCTCTCTCTCTCTCTCTCACACACACACACACACACACACACACACACACACACACACACACACGTGTTGCAACTAGGTAGAGTAAATCAGAAGTCATGTCACATACCTGGCTCTTGAACTTCAGGTGTGAAGTGTCATGGAACAAGATGCAGTGGAAAATAAGAAAATGAGAACAAGAAAACCATTATTTCACACACCAAAAGAGCTTTTGAGCCAAATGGGAGGAGGAGCAGAGACAAAAAGGGGAGAGGGGAATGAAGTTAATAAGTGAACCTGAAGTAAAATAAATCAATTAAATTTGAAACAGCATATAAACAGAAGTCAGAGCACAGGAAAGGAATTCAGTTATGTAAAACAGGCAGATTTATGAGAATAGTGCATTGCTTAGAAAAAACTTTTGAGCATTATATGACATAAAATACAACCTGAAAGCACGGTGTACCAAGGTTTATCTTGATTTGAAATATGCACATGAACATTGTCAGCACTCTCAAACCGCAATTGGATCCATCCTTTTTTACAGTAGTGTTTCAGTCATTTGAAATAAATACAGCGTGGTTCCAAAACCTACTGAAATGCCTGCTGTAAGTCATCATCAGCATTCAGCTGATTTCCAGAGAAGCTTGGTTCTGTTTTCTAGATCTATGACTCAGGCCATTTTCTTCCTTGAAGACAACTTTGATGTCTGTATAAATGTACTGCTATTCTTCACATCCATTTGTAATGTAGAATTACAAACAGATTACTTCATAGGAAGAAAGGGTTCATTAAAAGTCTGTGCAGGGCTACGTTTCATTCTTCTGTTTTTTTGGCAAAGCAGAAATAAATCAGCAATGTAGATTTACAGGGCAGATTTTGCTTTTCAGCCATATATGGATCACTATTTTGCAAAGCAAGCATAAAAATAGTGAAGAATCTCGCAGTATTTATATTCCCTGTATACAGTCAATAGATTAAACTCTGCCCCAAGATTTGAAACAAAGCTTTCTCATACCACTGTGCAGAATTTAACCCATACCACATAGACACTTTTTTCTGAACTACTCTTTTGTAATAGCATAAGGGTTCCCCTACTGTTTAGTAAAATGTGCATGTAACAGGTGAGTTTCCTCCTCCTTACTGCTGATTACATTTCACTGAGGAACAAAACCCCAAACAAACATTAAACAACCTGAAAGGCATGCAAGTTACAAGCTACCATTAACAGATGGGTTGCCTTGCATTCATTTTCCACACACACTGTCCCAGCAGATGGACACTGGGGAGTTCAGAAGTTAAATCACATACCTGGAGGGGGGGCTTCATTTAGTAGGAAGTATCAGGGAAAAAAACATAGGAAAGGAAGATAAATTAGAAATACGTTATTCAGGAAGGGATCACCTCAAACTTTGGTAAGACAGGGTTGAAGGAGTATCATTTGCAGACTAGGTTATAGGGATAAAGTGTTAACGAGAATGGAAAAGAAGAATAATTACAGTGGGGTGTGGAGCAGAGAGAAAGGGGATGCCATAGAAAAGGAACGTACAGGGAATTTGAATGTTGATGAACTGCAGCAGTTTATATCATGCAAATACATTAAAAGTGGGCAATAATGGTAATACTGGTGACCTGGAAGGTTGAAAGAAAACGTACCCAAGAAGGGAGTTTTAAAAGTGTGTAGCAAAACCTATGTTTCAGCTATGCCCGTGCCCTTTTAGCTATCAGAGCAGGTATGGGGAGATTAGAGATACTGAAGGAAGTACTGGTTTGGATATATCTCTGCATTTGCATGTGAAGCTCTACCATCTAAGAACCTCCACTGTCAGATCTGGAGTTTAGCCGGGTCTGCACAAGGGCTTGTCTCTGCTGCAAAGGTGTAGAAACTGCTTGAGCCTGCATGCCAGGATCCTGCTGCAGGCGATACCTGCAAGTGGAAGCAGCTTGTGTTTCAGCAGCTCAGGTACCTGCTCTGCCCTGGCAGAGTAACAGCCCTAAGAGTTTTCAGGGGCACTAAAATCATAGAATCATAGAGCAGTTAGGGTTGGAAGGGACCTTAAAGATTATCTAGTTCCACTGTTTCTTCTAAGCTTCTTAGAAGGTTACTCTTCAGTTACAAACAATAATTATACTTCCCTATGTAAATTTAAGGGATTTAAATTGGGGAAATAAATGTTAGGGAATCTTAAGAGTGGATTGATTTTTCATGACGGTTTTTCATCAACATCTTTGAATTCCTATGTATTAGATTCATACTAATGCTTCAGATTAATACGTAGGAATTTAGATGTCACGCATGTGCCTTTGGTTAGGTGGAAAATGTCAGCAAAGGAAAATAAAGGAATTAGACCAAGAACAACACAAAAGCAACAACTCTGAACTCCAAAGTCACACCAAAGCTGTGACTTGGAATATGTGTTAGACAAAAGACAGCATGAATAACAGCGAAACTAAATAATCAGTGATATAAAAAGCTGGGACAGTGTCCCTCTGACATAAATGTTTTCTTTTAAGCTTGTTATGTTTACATCTTCTTTATAAACTTTCCTGTTATGCTTTATGTTACAGAGGGAAAAGAAAATATGTAAAGGCTGTAGGTATGGCTTTATTTTTAATCAGATTACATCAGTATGCGGTGTTTTGCACACATTTCAAGCTCATATGTATGTCGAAGCTTGAGACGAACACTCAAGTAGTAAGTAGCAGTGAGTAAGCCGCTCAATAAATAGCAGGGAAAAGAGATACAGAGGCAGACAAAGCAGCTGGGGTGGTAGTAATGACCTGTAACGTGCAAAACAAGGTCAGAAAAAACTTGGGATCAGGTAACAAGAATGAATATGGGTAAAAGGAGGAGAGAAAGGTGTGAAACGAGAAGCAGTGAGAACAGGAAGGAAATGGGAAGCAGCACACAGATTAATGCTGTAGTGTGAAGTCCAGTCATGCAAAAATCAATCAAATGATGGCTTTCACCTCACTCACTCCAACTTCAGATAGCTAAAGTACTGATCTGAACTAAGATGCTGGTCTCCCTCTGTGGACAGCAGAGTGAAATAGCTGGGATGGATAGCTGCTGAGATGTGGCTGCTTTAATAAAGCTACTCCAAATGGCACAGACTCATTCTCAGGGACAGTTCAGAGGGCGCAGCGAGTTCAGTTTCTGCTTTCCCAAATAATAAACATTGTAACGTTCCTGTGTGCAGTGTGAGGATGGCTGAGTCCAGTCAGTGGCTATTATTACAGCTTATACGTTGAGATATGTGTTTACAAAGGTGTTATTACAGTTTTCATGCAACAGTTAGCTCTTATCCTCATTATTACGCATCACATAGCAGAGGAAATTATTACTGGTGGAAGGTGTAAGGAAGCTGCAAGTTACAGTTTATCATTAATATTTGATTTTCGTCTCTTTTCTTCCACCATCTTTGAATTCCTGAGTATAATATTAGAGTTACTGGTATCATTTCCAATAGAATTTACAGTTTCAATTAAATTTCATTATTTCAAAGCTCATGTAGATTTAGCTAAGATTTTGGTTAAAAAACAGAAGCAGTTTCATAACCATAAAAGGTTTCACAGATATTAACATCTCTAGAACAAAACCTTTCCATTTTTTGCTTGGTGACAATCTCTCGTTCCAGATTTATTCTTGCATTACACTATATATACCCTGCATTATCCATAAAGTAGTGCTTCAGAAGCATCTAAGATAGAATTTTCATTTCAGAATTTGGAAGTCTTCCATAAAGGAAAGAAGGGGGAGGGAAGCTGGAACAAAATGTTTTGTTTTGAGAAAATAAAAAAAAGAAAAGAATTGTTTTGAATAGCTGCCAAACATGGCATTCATCCTTTTTTGTTGCTGCTGTTGTTTGTTTGAAAAGTTTTCATTTTGTCCCAATTCAGAACATGACCCAATTGTGAAATTGCCAAGCACAACTGAATTGCCAGCACACAATAACCCTTCAGATTGATGCAGAGGAATTCAGAAGTCACATACCTGGTTCATGGACTTCTTTAAGAGGGAAGTAGCAGGGAAGGAAATGCAAAGAAAGATAAGAGAATTAGAGCAAGAAACAAAGGATGATTAAAAAACACCTTACACTTTTTTTTTTTTAGCCAAGGTGGAAGGGTTAAAGGGATAGAAAAACATTAATAAAATTAAAAGATAAATCGAGGACAAATAGGGATGTCAGTTAGTCACGGAGAGGAAGGACAAGGAGATGTTGAAAGATAAAAGATACAGATGACTAACATATATTCATAATGTTATAAGTCAAGTACCATTGGCAGCCTGTGTTTGGCATAAATATTTACTTGTATTTAAATCCAGTCCATTACCCATAGGTTTGAATGTGCAAAATGTGTATAGACAGCCTGTTCTTATTCATGTGCATACAAATCCCAGCCTCTGCGGAAATCAATGGGCTCAGAGGAGCTCGCATTGATTTCCTTAGTGCCCAGGATTTCACCACTGGTGTGTAGCACCGTTCACCAATGTGGGAAGGTAAGTACAAGCATGTTACTGCTCTCTGACCTGCAGGATAAAGTCTCTGATGAAAGCCTAGCTGGACATGCAGAGAGGGGAGCAGAAGGACAATTGAAAGTTAAAGCGTTTGAACATGGTAAAAGGGGTTGGGCTGGCAGGCTGATGCTTTCATAAGTATGACTTATTATTTTGCTGATCACACAGACTGTCATATCAGATCTGGACTTCAATTCACATTATAAAATCAAGCAGCAATGTAACCCTGCTACCCCGGTTTTGCATAATGCACATTAACAGAGAAAAATACCAATATTTATGGCAAAAGCATGCAACTCCATTTTTGTTCTGAATAGGCATTTTCTGCAAATATGCTACAACTAAAACGTTTACACTCAATCTAATTCTTAGCCCAACAGAAAAACTAGGTATGCGTTGGTGTCACTTGTTGCTTGCAACTTCAGATGTAAGTGTCTCCACATCCACATACATTGCTGCAAAAGCGGGCTTTGTCCCTGCACAGTGGTGGGGGAACAGGAGGAAGAGGTGCGCGCAACGAAGGGACATAGTATTGCCACAGGGCACGGCTGTCCCACCTCCAGCCCTGGTGCATGGTAGTAGTTTCAGGAACCCTGTCCCCATACCAACTGGTATCTGTACTGATAGCCTGGTTAGAGACATCGGACTGCTGGGAAATATATACACAATGCCCAGCTTGTGCCTTGGGCATTGTTTCCAGAGCAGTGGTTAATAGTTATTACTCATCATGCTTTTTATCCTACAAGTGCGAAGCAGCTGTCAGCAAGCTTGCGGAGGATATTTTTGCATCCTCTCCTCTTCAACCACCTCCAGACAGAAACAGAGGAATTTGCAAGTCATGGCAGCACATATCTTCCTCATGAGCTTTACTGGGTGGGAAGAGTCACAGAGCAAGATGCAAAGGAAGACAAGAGTGTTAGAAATGTCAGAACAACTTTTCAGTCACATAAAATGGAGGGGGAGGAAAAGCCTAAGAATACATTGCAAGGAAATAAGATTAATATGGATATGAAAAGCACTACTGGAAAAATGGCACAAGTGGTCTGAGAAATTAAACACATAAAGCTGATTTAAGTGGCCATATCAGATGACATTTGTCCTATATGCACATCCCACAATCCTGCATAAAGCCCAGAGCAGCATGCTGTTTCACAACCCTGATGCTTGCCCAAGTGGATTTACAACCTGAAGGCATCAGGATTTTAGTGGCACGTGGCTGCACATACAGCCGTGTATTCAACCACAGTGAAACAATGGTCAAGAAACTCCATTGCATGAAGAAAAAAACCTGTCTTCAGTCATTTGCAAAGCTCAGGCACCAAAATTATTACCAGTTGCTTTGTATAACAGAGTTAAAGCTGAACAAAGAGGCAGGTGGAAGGGCTATCATAAGAACACAGCCCAGCAAAGGAGAACAAATCCTCACTGCGGCTGCAGTGTCAGCAGCTGCTGTAGCAGCAGACCAATTGTGGGCACATCTGCACATCATCCAGAGACCTGATCCACCCCAAATGGTCCAGAATAAGTCACCTAGTGTGGCCCAATCTTTCTCAGAGTGAAGGCCTTTTCCATCTTTTAAGAGATTTACATTTTGCAGCAGTTTCCATACTTCTGTGTTTTTTAATTACCATATAGCATTGCCAGCCAGTGCATTTAGTGTTAGAACATGAAGGAAAGGAGTACAACAAACAAAATAAGTTTTATTCTATATTAATATTCCTATCTTTATCTCCTGTTTCCTTTTACCATCTTATGGCTTATTGGCTAAACCAGAGCTTACTCTGAAAGATGTGAATTCAGGAGTCATGTCACATACCTTCCTCCTGAGCTTCTTTAGTGGGAAAAGCCACAAGGCAGGATGCAAAGGAACATTAGGAGAAATACATTATTACATGAACTGATATTACACAGGCTGAAAACCCTGTTAAGCAAGAGGGACAAGTTCTGTCCCACTAAATGAGGCACTAATGGCCAGGAGGGGAGGGAATCTGAGGCACATGAGGTTGGGAAACAACTTGAGCATGGGAAGGGAAGAGGCAAAAACGTATCAGAGAGGGAAAATCTCACAGTAAGCTCAAACATCACATGCTGAAATTTCTCTCTAATTGTAGTTTTAGAGGAACAACCTCCTGCCATTGCCAGGATGGGCTTTACGGCAAGCTCTGTGCAGAGCAGGAGGGATAGAGAGGCTGCATTACCACCTAGCTAACATCTGTCAGACCTTGCACTGAATGAGAGCATTCCTGGTTGTTAGCCTGTGGCAGAGCTAGTCACAGAGGAGAGGTGGAAAGAAAAGACAACAGGAGCGATAAGGCAAAGCAACCGAGTTCTGCTTCTCTTGTACCACCCTTGAATCCCCGCCACCACCAAGGAGATGGAAGGGAGCAATTTGGAAGTTGATGGCACGTACCTGCTTCTTGAGCTTCATAAGGTGGGACATGACAGGGAGCAAGAGCAATGAGATGGAAAACAAGAACAGTTAGATTAAAGAGTGTGTGAGTGCAACAGGGTGTCTAAAAATAAACTGCATGGGGTATGGAATAGAGGAGGAGATGAAATGGAGACAGGCAAGCAAAGCTCACACAGGTAAAGAAATGTAAAACCTTCACGATGTGGATGCTGTAAAAACCCTGCAAACTGCTCAGGGTGGGTCTCCCATGGCATTATAAACAGGTTTACCCTTTTTTCAAATGCCCATAGCTCAAAGCTTTGCAAATGCAGAACCAACACACCCTTTGGCTCCTCATACCTGGAGCACCACATCCTGAACCTCTCAAATGCAAAGGGTGGGTTTTTGTTCCAGCCCTTCTTCTGCCCTCTCTGTCCCACCTTGCAAATGCTTCATGCAATGTAGGGAGCCAGCTGGGGTTGCTTGCCAGCATCTATATAGATACAATTAATAATATCTGCATTCTACAGGATTATTATTTATGTTATAAATAATATTATATATATTATGATATATTATAGTCTATAAACTTATAATATATACAATGTACTATATATAATATTACATATTATAGAATATGTACTATGTGACATATGGCTACACACATACCTTACCACAGATGGATTTTGATTTCAAAATCCATCCAATCATTATCTGCCAAGCTACATATGAGAAACCAGTTGATACCTGATAGAAACCTCTCTAGGCAGACCTCAGTTATTCCACAGCAGGCATTGCCAATACCCAGGGCTATAAATCAGCCTTGGAGTCTGCTGTGGCTTGAATGAAGGGATGGTATCTGCATTTCCTCTGCTGTTCCCTCCCCAAAACCAGAGTATGGATGTCCGCACAGGTATGCTCCGCAAGGATATGGGGCACCCTCAATGAAACTTCTGCAAGGGACAAGAAAAGCCCTCTGCCTGTAGGTCATCTGTCACAGCATCTTTGTCTTGCTTTCTTCTACCACCTTGCAAAATCAAGGCGTACATCAGCACCGAGCCCTGCTGCAGGAAAGAGGGGGGCTGAGAAACGTTTCACATACCTTCTTCTTGAACCTCTTCTGCAGATAGGAAAAGTCACACAGAAAAGGGAATGGGAGAAGAACATTAAAACAAGAAATAGCTTATTGGCACATTCTTGAGGTTTGCAAGGCTTTCAGGCCATTATGGTTAAGAATACACAATGATGAGATTACAGGGTGAGAGAGGATGAAAAATAATATTTTTATGGGCATGTGATGGGGTTATAAATGTTACTGAGATATGGGAACATGACCACAAATGAAAACCACATTAAAAAAGGCATTCACTATTTTATTCTTTATTAGAGCTGGGTAAAATTTCCTAAAACTGACTTTTGGTGAATTTTTAACCAAAATAAAATTTCTGTATTTCTTCTAGTTTACTTTTCCCCCCCCCCTCAAACGGCAAAAACTTTTCACCAACACTTATTAATTTTTGACATTTCAAAGAAATTAATTCCTGATTTTCAACAGATGGCTATAAACTTCACAGGATTTCCCCCTCCTTTTTAAAAACATAAGCTTTCAGAAAGAAAGGGGGAGCCTTGACACTGTTGAGACAAAATTGTCAAGCAATTAATTAAAATGGTAGACCAAAACAAATAACTTATATTTGTTTCCATATACACAAATACACATAGATTGTATATATATTGTATATATGTGTGTATTATATACTTTTTTTCATATAGATGTGTATTTTATTTCTTACACATATGTATATCTAACTGTTTTGGGTTTAATTTTTAGACAAAAAAAAAAAAAAACACCAAAAAACAGGCCCAATTTCCTACCAGCTCAATAAGTGACATCAATGTCCATCATTGCATTGATGTCTGTGGCTTGGGACCAAGTCCTGGCCACTAGGTGTGAACCATTTGATCTGTATTTCCTCACACATATTCTTCCTCCACACTGAGAGAGAAAGAAAGGAAGCCATGCCACATACCTTCTTCCTGAGCTTCAGGTGGCAAGTGTCATGGAACAAGAAGCAACAGCAAGCAAGAAAATGAAAACAGAAAACTGTTAGAAGCTGGCATTGGGGTGAGCCGAGGCCTGGAGAAAAAAGTGGTTAGAAAGTGATGGAGAAAAGTTATATGGAAAGGAAGTAGATGACTTTGGAAGAGAATGCAAAGGTCACACAAGAGTGAGGAGCCAGAAGATAACACCTCAGAGGAGATAGTCATGCAGATTAAAGGAATAGGAAGTCACCTGCCTATTAATTTCACATTAATCATTAAATTCTTGAAACCCAAAAGTAGACAGTTAGGGAAGAAAGGAGAAAGGCAAGAAATGCTTCTCCTTTAATGAAGGCTTGTCTGTAGGACCATCACCCTTTGCTTACTCTTTGGATATTTGACAAGGCATGAAGGATGGAGCATGAATAGCGCCTTCACGTCCCTGGCTCTGCCTCTCCAGGCAGGACTAGACATACGGTGATGACCAAAGGCAGCTCTACAGGCCATTTAACAACTCTGCTTTCTTTCAGTTTTCTTCTGAGCCCTTGACCCCCTTAGAACCCATGATGGGGAATTAGAGACATAAGGATAATGTACGTTACGGTAGGAACTACGCTCAGCATTGCCACGGCCACACCTCCGTTCCTGCTACTGATGGGCACTGGCCAGTTGCAGCAATCTGGGGGAATCCATGGAAAAAAACCAAACCAAAACAAAACAAAACAAAAAAGGCATCTGTGTGTAAAATCCCCTATAGGGCCATTTCTACCCAGGGACATGTCTCTGCCTCAGAACTGGTCTCACACCCTCCACATGCAAATATTTTACCTCCTAGTAAAGGGTCTTGCTCTTGACCCCTTAGCAGATGTCTTGGACACTAAGGGCAGATCCTGGGAAGCAGCCCCAGAGTTTGTCCCCTGGTCCCAGACACCCTGAAAAAATGCAGGATGACAACTGGCAGCTACACTGTCAAAAGTGCCCAGCAAAGACAGCGATACATCTCCATATCTTCCTCTCCCTGCTGCCTACAAAAGGTGAAACAACTCAGGTGAGAAAGGCTTTTCATGCTCCATCTTTCCAGATTGGCTCTAGCAGCTTGTCAAATCACCTTTTGCCAGCCAAAGGCACGTTAAAAAACTTCATCTTTGTCAGTCAGTTCTCTGCCTCACCTCTTCCATCCATAGCAGCACCCTGTCAGGTGCACCTCGGGAGTTGATTGACCTGCTCTTCTCTTCAGTTTCAATATCTAAACTCAGTCTGTGGACATTGCCAAAGTGAGAGTGGCAGGATTTCAATGATGATATGTTGTGTGGGCTCTGTGCTAATCCCTGCTCTAAAAGTTTATGGGCAGGTTAGCTCCCAGGTTTACAACCATCCCTATGGCTCACAGAAATGCCATAATGGGAAGGCTCTGCACATCACAGCCCAAACCTAGCTGGTTTTATAATTTCTGACCGATTTACTGATCAAGTCTTTCAGATCACCTTTAGCAGCGAACACCAAAGAGAAGGGTGAAATACAGACAAGGAAAAAGCAGGACCAAGAATCAAAGAAAGATAAATCACGTTCCAAGGGTTTTTGTTACCTTCTTCTTCATACTCCTCTGCATTGAAATAGGGGAAGGAAAAAAAGAGCAGACAAATCAAGCATCATCCTTGACAGATTGGTAAGATGTTACCCGTGGTCTTTAAGAGGCCATTTGCAAGTTACCAAGTGAAATAGCAAGTAAAATGACTTTGAGAGAAAGAGGAGGTACAAAAAGGGGAGGAGGGCTGTATTGTACTGAATTTTTTCTTGGGCGAGGGGAGCTCAAGTGTACACACACCTTAGAAGGATAAAAGTGTCAGAGAAGGCCTCAAGGTAAAAGAAAAAACAGCGAAAAAAGCCCCATATATGTTTCTATGCGTATTGCTTGTATATATTGGTATATTGGGGGGGGGGGGGGGGGGTACGTTTTAAAACAGAAAATACTGCGCATACAAGAGCCTCAAAACGAATTGCCAGCAGATGGCAGTGCCCCTACGAAAAATAGCAGCGTCCCCTGCAAACAGGGCATCAGTGCGGGGCTGAAACCCCGAGGGCTGCCTGCAGCACAAAGACAGACAAGACTTCCTGTGCTACAAGGGGTGTGAAATCACCAGAAGCTGGTGATAGACAAACATACAGAGAGAAAAGAAAACTCTGATTTGCCTAACCGTGGTGAGACGTCTTGTTAAAATCTCAACAGTGGGCAGAAAGGAGAAGATGGACACGGCCAGCAAATGCTGAAGGCTTGCATGGAAGCAATTAGAGACAGAATTAAGACTTACCCTCTCCTTGCTCCCTGTGAGAGAGGGAAAAAAAGGTTATTGAAACTACATAAATATTTCTTCCACTCCATATTGGTGCCAAGCTTTAAACCGTATATATGCTGAAGCAACCCAATGCACTGTTGTTTGAAGTCTGTTTCTTCTTTCCCCCATTCTCCCCCTGCTCTCCCAGGAGCCATTTGGTTTTAAAAGTAGTAAAGTGACTGGGTTTGGGTTTTATTTGAAATAGCGTTCCCAATTCTGAAGGTATGTATGGTTCTATATCCGGGAACAATCTTACCACCACAGATCTACAACATGATACCCACATCTGAGCACTGTGCAGGGACTGATGAAGCTGGACCTCAGCCCTGCTGTGCCGGGCAAGCCAGCCTGCAGCTGATGGCCCACACCAACCCAGACGTGCTACAATGCTTCATGAACCCCGAGGCTGTCTAATAAAAATTTGGCATAAACCATTTGCTGCTCAGTGTTCATCCTGTGGCTGGTCCAAAACCAGTCTTGTGGTCTGTTCCCATTCCTTGCCCCTACTTGCCAGCTTGTCCTGTTTTACCATCACCTTGCAATAAACCCAAACCCCAGAGCAGCCCAGGGGCCAGACCCTGAATGAAGGATGTGTTAGAGATTGCCCGAAAAAGGTGCCAAACCTCATCTTTGGAATTCGTTTTTGAGAGCAGGCTGTACAAAATGACACAGGTTGAGCTGAGTTGAGAGGAGGAGGCTTAGTGACCACTGCAAGTCTGCCCATGATCCCATGATTGTCCTGAATCTCCCCCCTGTACCTACTGATGCATAAATGTCCAATGTCCCCTTTGGGTTTCGTTATGTTACTCTAGATTTGTTAAACCAGAGCAGAAAGCGGCTCCTCCACCACACTGTTTTATTTCCCTTCTCCAGGTAAGGCCACAGGCTGAGCTGTGTAGAAGTATTTGGAGGATGTCCTGTGTTAAACAGGGAGAGTAACAGGTGAACTTTGATGGACCCTTTGACACTTAAAGCCAAGACATCCCTTTCCCATTTCCTCAGGGGGCTTTGGGCTGTGCACAGGGTGGAACCCAGGCTCTCCTCCCCACAGGCATGCCCTCACTGCTGCATGGAGCCAAGCTGAACAGACATGCAGGCAGCTTTCTCTCTACTTACACTTCCTCAGTATCAGACATGTTGGCAATGAGTTTCTAGACAAAAGATAAAGAGGAAAGAAAGAAGTGTTATTAGTGAGAGCATCTCCTAAAAAAATGCCAAGGCAGGAGCAGATGGGTTGATATTTGAGGGCAAAAAAATCCCAGGCACCTGCTTTCCCACACAGCAGCCAATCCCCTACCAACACTGCCATTTTGGGAGCAGCACAGACCTTTGTCAGCCAGGTCAGAGAAGAGGAAAGACATGCCCTGTCAACCCAATAGCTTCCCACAGGCAGGCCCAGGGCAAACCTGGTCCTGGCTTTAAGTAACAAAACATCCAGAGCTCAGGAGATGGGCACAGACCAGGGTGTCCTCTTGCACCCATCCGACATTTCCATCACTCCAGTAAGAACAGACAGGTTTTTCCTTCTTCTACGCTTCCACGAGTGGGAAGGTGCCAGCTCCGAAGCATCAGTCAGAGCCAAAAAGAAAATAACTAAAACTACCAATATACCCACATAACTACTTATTTGTCAGCACCCAGAAGTGTGTTTGGTTTATACAGCTGATGAATGAATGAACAATTAGCTGTTAATTAGCTTAAGATGAAAACTTGCCAAATGCCTGGATAGGCAATTCACATTGGTATAACCAGCTGCGCTTATTGCAACCAATCCTTGCACTGGGGGCCAGAAGTGAACTGATCCATGGTGCTGTTGTGGCTTGCATTTCTGTGCTGCCTGAGTCAGGGCTGCGTGCAGACCACTACCCATGGAGAGCTACAGCATGGAAGGAACCCCAGCTGGAGTCAGAAGGAGCAGCATTGCTATGCAAAGCATCATGGTAATATCAGTCTACACTGGGTTCAGTGCAGACTGTGATATCGGTGCGATGTTGTGATGGCAGTGGTGCAACACTGTGGTTCTGCCCTGAGGCTAAGGGAGGAGGTGGGGAAGGGCCCCTCAAAACTTCCTCCAAATCCACAGCAGGTCTTAAATTAGAAAGCCAGGCTCCTCCTCATTGGGAAACCCAAACTGTGACTTTCATGACTTGATTACTCAGCTGATATATGAGAGATGTCTTGAAGGAGCAGGTGGGCTGACTTATGTTCAAAAGGAACAACTGCAGCTTGGCAGCTTTCTATTTCAGAGGAAGGCAGTAATCCCTTAGGCTCCAACCCTGCCCTATAAGGGATTCTCTCCCTTCCCCAGCAGTGACCCTGGGCACCCATATATTAACACCAACAGGATTTTAAACCCCCTTATTCTAAGCAGCGCTAACCAGCTCGCATTTTTTTTTCTTCTAGTTCCTTATTTCTATCTGAAATTCAGCATTGCCCTGAAAGTAGTGCCAGCAATGGCTGTGCTATGACCCAGTCTGAGCAGCTTGATGGAGGATGACATACTGCAAGGACACATGAGATTTGGGTTCAATGATCTCTTGGTCCCAGGCTGCTTTTAACTTGGTAGCTGTGATTGCCCACTCCTCAAGTGCAACAGCCAGTGTAACAGGACTACTTTGGGTACTCTAAACCAAAGAGGCAAGAGGAATCTGGGAGGAACTTTGTGTTTGGGAGGAATTTCAGCTCTGCAGAAGGCTTTTCTGCTACATCAGTTCCTGCTGCACTGATTCCTGCTGCTTCTCCTGTTACTTATTTGAATGCTACACCACCTCTGATCTCTATCCCTTGGTCTTTTTATCTAGATCATCCAATCTTCCAGATAAAGACTTCCACTGGCTATTTGCAGAGCAGCTAGCAGGTCTGCAATCTCATTTCAGCCTACAAAAATTATTCAATCTATTAGTAATACATGTAGTAACATATCATGTTGGTTTATGCAGTGGGATAGCAGAGCTTCCGCTGGAAAAATCATGGAGAGGGACCTGCCAGATGCCCAGCTGCTGGCTTCTTCCAAAATGTGCGATCTGTAAAGACTCAAGGCAATGGCCAATCCTCCCATAGATTCTGCCTTTAATTTGTAAATTCAGATTTCTTTCTTGCCAAGGTGGAGGGGAAAAAGAGGACTTTTAAAGACCACTGGGCTAAACTCTTCTTCCTTCGCACTCCAGTGAGAAGTAATACTGCTCAATGGTGGAGAAGAAATCAGCTCAAGAGCCCTGCGTATGCACAGAGAGAACAAATGTCTGCTCGATGTCTGTTTGGTGTAGGGTAGGCACATAACGCAGTGTATGCTGTTCTTTCCAAGGCAATTGAAGTCAATGGGAGTCTTTGCAATCAGGCTTTCCATTAACAGTTATTGGAATGAGCTCATCTAGTCTCCAATTTAGCTCTAAGGAGATCTTGCCGACGGCTGCCACATTGGCTGTTCCTCTACACCCTTCCATATTTGTTAATCCAAGCGCTGCAAATGCGAATGGGATTTTGCATGGCATCTGTCTGCATGCTATAAAAGCCAAGTGCGAATGCCAGCATCCCTGACACCATAAGACCCCAACCCTGAGGGGGTTTCTGGGCCCCGGATAAAATGAATTAATAACAAGTGCATTGGCAGACTTTGTGCAGAGACAAACCAGACAGAAACCCCCAGGCTAGGATAAGGGGGACAAAAAAATCAGGGGGACGTGGAGATTTCAGCCTTGCAAGGGCCAAACATTCAGCCAAGTTCAGTCACTTCATTAGGAGGAGCTGGCATTTAAGGCTGTAGCTGACTGCCACTGCCCTGGCTGGAAAGCCAAGAAGGTCTCACATCAAGGAGAACAAGGTGTCTGTGCACTTTGTAGCATTCAAAAGCCATCTGGTCCCTCAAAGCCAGGGGCAAAACACAGACCATCATAGCAACAGCCACCCGAGATGAGAGAAAGGCCATTGGATGCCCAGCACTGTCCACGTAGCGAAATCTGTCACCAAAGCAGCCAACAAAACCAAACTATATTTACATCCACAAGGCAATAAAGCAAGCAATCTGCTCAGAATGGTGTTTTTTGCAGTTCGGATTAAGTTCACTGAAGGCAACAGAAAGTGTCCAGCTGGCTCGAGATTACCCTTCTGTGGAAATTACTTTACACACAGCGAATGCAGCCTCAGATTAAGGCTGTTAGCACCTTAAGGCAACAACTGGGCTTTGTTTGTACGGTGCCAGAAAAATGGGATCTGGTCTTGACTGAGGCTTAAGGATGTAATAAAACCAATTACTTAATACTGCCAACCATTTGGAAGGAAATCAAAACACATAGGAAAGTTTCACCAGACCAAAAACTTCCTGCCTGCTCCCACCCTCAAAGGTGAAATCGAAGGTTATTTCCTGCATTTGGTGCAAACTAAGCAGGTCACGTCTGGAAGGACAAATACCCCAGTCTTCATCAGTCCCAGGTAGGCAGGAATGCCATGTCCCTTTTGGCCCCAAATGCTCCTGTCCTTGGCTGCAAGAGCAGAGCCAGCACATCCCAAGAAGCCTCTTAGCAGCTGAGAATGCACCAGGGAGGGGGAATGGGCTGCCTTGCACCTCGAGGCCATCCCTGGAAATAACCCGCCCATCAATCATCCATTCCCAAGCCAGGCCATACAAGGGAGGCAAGGTAGCAAGAGGCATATGGAAAGGGGGGAGGACAAAAGCAGCCATGCATGGTCAATGGGACCCGGCAGGGACAGCTATCAGGCAAGGACTAGGGGCATGGTCCACTAGGCACCACATGTCCATGCTTTCCCAGCAGGAGCCTCTGCAAACCCACTGCATCTACTTTTTTACATACATGTATATACACTAAAAAATAGATGCTCTGTATATCTATTAAATATATATATACTTTTCTATATATAAAGTATAAACATATACCTTTTAAAACCTATATTTCTTCTATCCTTCTGCCTCCACCCTTTGTTTCTGAACTGCACAGCACTTTCCAGCAGAAAGTGTTTCTCTCCCCATGGGCTGGAAAGTGAAGCACCCACTGCAGTGCTGATGCTGAAACAGGGTAGCAGAACCCAAGTACTGCTTCAAGCTCCACTGACACATAGCAAAATCCTGATTCCCTGCCCCAAAATGTGCCTTTTATCCTTGTCTTTGGTGTGTTACAATTTGGCTGATCCCTGCATGGGGCTTGCTAGGAGCAAGGCTGAGATATGCCCCCAAGGAGGGGGGAGTCCGCCATACCAATTGCAGGGGTTTGAAGCCATGCATACAGGGAGCATCCCATCACCACTCTGAATTAACCCCATCCTCCTGCCCCTCCATAAGCACAAGGAGGTTCTCTCCTAGTTTTCAGTTTTCTTATTTTCCATGAGATGTGACAGTTTTCCATGACCACATCTGTGTTCCTCAGGTCTCCCTCTGGCCCCACACCGCACAGTCCTCCTCGCCTGCCAGCAGCTCCCCAACAGTCCTGTCCTGCCTCCCTCCCACCTCAGCCATCCTTTTCTCTGGGTGACAGGGAGGGAAGGTCAGCGCTTCCCTCCTGCTACTGAAGGGAGTTTTGCCAAGTGCCCCAAGAGATGCCATGTCATTCCCAGCCCCACACTTCGGTTTTGGAAGGGATTTTTCTCCTACCGCTGACCCTTGAGATTTCAGAGCACCTGGGTCTCTGCAGGTGACACGATCATCATGCAGTGCCTAACCAAAGCCAGGAAGTAAAAGTGCCTTTTCCTTAGGATCTCCTGCCAGATCCCAGATCCTGTGGACCCCAACCCTCCCCTGATGCTTCTCCATTCAAACCAAGACCCAACCCCTTTGCAGCATCCCTTGCTGTGGCTCCTGCTTACCTGGGAGGAACAGAGAGTAGCACCGAGCCCCCTGCTGAAGGGGACAGGCAGGCTGGGATCTGCGAGCCTCCCAAGGTGGAGCAGCTCTCAACTTATAGTGACATTTGATCGTATGGGGGAGCCAATTGGCCCCAGGCTCCCTGTGCTGGGCAGGGAAGGGAGCAGGGACAGGGCGGGGGGTTGGAGGGGGAAGTGAGGGAAGGGGATTAAAAGGTCATACCATGTATAGAAGCAGCTGGAGGAACTGCACAGATGAGGCTAAGATGGGAGGGAAACGTTTGGAGGAAAAAGAAAACCCAGCTCCAGGGCTTGTGTTTCTATATTGACAACCTCAGCAGGCAGGCAGACAGAATCTAAAGAGGGGTATCTGAGGCAAAGGCACCTCAGAAACAAACTGTGAGTCCCCTGCAACTCCATGGTGCATGGTCACTGCTTAAACCCTCGTTGTGGTACCCTGGCTCTTGTAATCCCAACACAGAGCAGCAGCCTCTGCTCTCCTGGCTGGGCAGGGGTTCTTCCCTGCTGCCCCACTACATGTGAATGGGTTAGAGCCTGTGATGGGTGTTGGGACCTTCTGCTGTCTGACATGAGTGGTCACAGGCATGTAAGAATTCAGAAGCACACAGCACACGTCATGTGTGTGCTTGTGTGTGGCACACTCCGACCTCTCACTAAGACTACCAGGGCTCTGCCATGCATCAGGGCTTGAGGAGGCCTGGTACAAGAAGCAGGAGAACCGGTGTGCAACAAGAGAGCTTGTCTGAACTCAAGCCATGCTCAAAGCATAATATGAAAGCAGTGTTTAAGTAAGGACATCTTACAGACAGCAAACCCCAGGGGGCTGGACCCCACCAACAATCTAGGTGCCCCAAGGGGTTTCGCTGCCCGAGCACCCTCCACAGTTGCATGGCTCTGCCGGCAGAGGATTGCAGTGCCTTGCACAATCCTCTGGCTCACGGTTTCCATTTCACTACCCCTCTCAGGCTTCAGCTCCCCATGCCCTTCCTTGGCAGGGTTCCCTGGTGATGCAGAGCGTGCCCTCCAGTGTCCCTGGCAACTCCAGCACCCCGATTCCCCAGCCTGTAGGAGCAGAGGACAACTTTGGTAGCTGCAGGGCAGGTGTTATTTTTGGCCTGGGTCGCAGATTGATTCCTGCCCTCTCTTTCCCTGCTGCTTGCAAGAAAGGGTCCCCAGCCGAGGATGTAGACAAGTTTTTAAAGCTGTGGAACAGGAGCTGCAGCCTCCCATTCACCAGGTAATGTGCATGAGCAAAAACCCCCTCTCCAGCTTCTGTTCTCCAGCTGTCAGGCAGCTTACCCCCTCGCCTCCCCCCTGCAATCCAGCTCAAGGCAATGCTTTAGTTACTCGTCGGGTGAGAGGGGGACAGTGTATTCTCAGACCCCTGGCTTTGGCTGGGAGTTTGCTGGGTGGGGAGCTGGGGTGAGCACCCCACACTGCTTTGGAGAATGGCACCTGCATGGGGGCACATGGCCAGACCAAGTATGGTGGCCTCCACGCCCCCTCCCCAGGTCCCTCAAAGGCACTAACACAGCAAACCAGCTTTCACACTGCGTTCTCAGCACCAAGCATTTCTGCCACCTTCCATTGGCTCATTTTCCTTGGACTCTCCACCAGTTGGGCACACCTCCAAGGAATACTCTATTTGCCCAAACTGGCTGCAGAGTAGGGATGTATGGAGGGGAGTCCCCCAGCCGTTTCTCCTTTTATGTCCCCGGTGGATCCAATTTGGCAATGGCATTCACCAGCCTCCTTTGCCTGACTGACAGGGCCTCATGACTCAGGTCTCTACACCAAGGACTGGGTTAATCTATTAACAAGAAAGCATGTGTGTGCAAGTGCACGTGAAGCCCTGGCTTAGAGCAGGGTGGTTCTCAGCAGATACGAGGCTGAACACTCCTGTGGTTCCATCTGGCCCATTTGCTGCCAGTCAGTTGGCAGGAGCAATGTGAGCATCTTGAAGGGTTGCACAGCCTCTACCAGAGTAATGCTGCTTGTGCATCAGTGGCACTCCACATCACTCGAATTCCCCTCTAGGCATCTGGACAAATGTGATGCTGATGCAAGCTACTAGAGGTAACCAGAGGTTTCTACCTGCTGCAGCTCTATTTTCAAATAGATGAGGTGCAAACATTACCGCCTGCAGCATCTCCTTTAGTTCCTGTACACTCAGCTCAGTTCCTTATCTGGACATGCTGCAAAACTACTCCACACAACATTTATTATGCATGATGTCCATGCTGTCTTTCCCATTGCCACCCCTTGGAAGCATAGCCCATTACTTCATACTGTCTCAAAGGATGTCTGTGCATCCTATAGGCTACCTCTGCCAAAGCACTCGTGTCAATGTCTTGCATCTTGTTTCCAGTCCCAACACGATCCAGTTCCCTCTTTGCATAGGACTGAAGGTATCTGCTCCATCCCTCAGGTATTTATCTGATGCTCATCCCTCTGGAAAGATTGTTTATCTGATGCTCACATCCTCTGTTTGCTCTGCTGTTATCTAGCTCACAACTGAGGTTCATTCCTCACAGCCCATTTTATGGTTGCCTTTCCTTCCCTTTGTGGGTCTCTCTATCCACTTCAGCACACACCTACAATCCTCTCCAATATTTGTTTCATACCTCAGCAGCATACCCTGTGCTTCGCACACATACCTTGCATCTAGTCCTTATTTCATCTCCTGATGCCATTGCACAGCAGTTTTATTCACAGCCTGCAACATTTCCATCATCAGCTCTGCTTCTCTTTACTGTAGATTGCCCTGCTCTGTGATATTTATTTTGCTGTCTTGAAATCATCTCTTCTTCCTGCACCAGCAGCAAGGTGTACTTGGGCTCCCCTCTGAGCTGCTGCAGCACAGCCACGCAAGCCTTGAGAGCAAGCAAACCAACAGCTACACCTCATGCTTCCTACTGATAGCATGGACCACATGAGAGAGAGATGATCCCATCTGCAGCCACATTTCTACCAAAAACAATCAGATTTTGTTATATGAGGGTGCCGTGAGCACCTGTCTTTGGAGATGCCACTCTTGCCAGCTGCCAGGTTAGGAGACAGTGTGCAAGCCAAAGGGAGCATGCATGCAGGTCACAGACATGAGCCAGGGTCTCAAACTGCATAAAGTCCATCCATCTGCTGACTTCAAGCCAGAATCTGGCATGCTTTTACAGTGACAGCATCTCTACCTGGGAGAGGATACAGAAAACCAGTGTTCCTCCTTGAATAGCAACTAGAGGCTGGGGCAGAGATCTACAGAAGTTTCCACTACGTAACATAGACCAATATCATATTTCTTTATGATAGGAGCACCCAGACTGGTTATTTGAGATGAGCCATTTGCAGGGGAGCTGCAATCAGCCCTGCTCATCTTTTCTGGCTTTTGGCTGTCCTATTGCAGCACCTAGTGTACTCAGGGCAACAAGACTTTAAATACAGCACACACACATTAGCCTTGATAACTTTATGGACTGCATAAAGATGGGCGCTTTGGCCAAACACTTGTATCTTTGGCTGTTTTTTTTATACCCCCCATGCTCACTGCACACCAGGCAGTATTTCCATGGATCATTGCTCCTACAACACTCAGCTAGCAAACTGAAAGAAGTGCCGGAAAACTGCATCTGAAAACCTCTGCAGCTCTGGAAGTCTGAAATCACCTGTGGCTTCACATTCATTAAACACTACAGAGTTTGTAAATAAAATCATCTATGTCCTTCCCATAAAACAGGTGCTCTTTCACAACCCAACAGATATCTAACTGCTGCAATGAAACAGTACCTACCCCTCATTCACCAGCTACTGACCGTCACTGAGCAAACCAATCTCATACTGAAGCAGATCCTGCTTTAGCCTGCAAGTTGGGCCAGAGAACCTCCTGAGATCCTTCCTTACCCAAACCCACCCATGACTCTGCACTTACATCTCCATGCTCAAGCACCGAGGAACCTCCACTGACATTTCCTGTCATCTGAAAATGGCTACATTATCCAAACTGAATTTGTTGCAAGGGAAATAGGTTTTACTTGAGTTATTCTATCACCCACAAAGCCACCCTCCCTGTCATAGTTGAGTGCTTTCAAAACAACGTCTTTTGATATTTTTGTATGATACAGCTATTTTGGTTTTGACATCCACTTACACAGACATCAGCACTGAAACACTTGAAGTTACCCAGGAAAACGTGTTGATTAAGCTGACTGGAGAAGGGTGGGGAATGTGCTTTTCTGTTTTGTGACACTCAATTATAAACCTTTTACCATGATTCTGGACAGGTGGGGAATGGTAATCACAAAAGTCATTCAGGAAGGAAAAGTAAATTCTCATCCACTTCTCCTCTCCTTTCTTCTCTTTATTGCACCCCAGAGAAAAGGATTCTGCAGTGGGGTTTAATCAGCAGTTCAAGGTTAAAGTAGGTGGCCTACGTTCACTGAAGCACTTTCCAACTTATTGAAAAACCTGCCAATAAAAAGGCAGATCAGATAGTGACTAAGATAAGTACAAGAGAAAAGACAAAATATATATATATAATTAATTTCTGTTCCTGGGTAAAATCCAATGACCTGTTTTATGCAGCCAGTCAAGCAGAGATCAGAATAGCCTTAAACTTTAAAATCACCTCCTCTATTTAAGTATCAGCACACCACTGCCATTTTACTGGCAATGACAGGATCCTAAGGAAACTGAAACATAACTGAAATGGACTGAGCAAGGACTGCTTCCTCTCTGGCTCCTCCAATACCCTTGTTTAGCATTTGGGCTCAGGATCTCAGTCCTCAGTTTGTATCTTCCTCCTCTAGACAGAAGACACCTGATGCCATCCTTGTGATGCAGAGCGATGAAACTCTTGCAGCAGCCACTCAGATACAGGGGCAAGCAAGCATTCACCGGGTTGGGGATTCACCAGTCTGAATCCTGGAGTGAGGCTGGGAAATGTCAGGGTGACAATAACTTTTGCTGATGGCGGCTCCTTGATATCTCAAAGGTTCAGGGGCATAAATGGGAGAATAAAGGGCAACAAACAAGCTTACTCTGGTCAATGACCAAATTACCTATGCATGCCTCCATCCACCTTCCTGGTACTGCTCTCCTTCTCTTTGCATCTGGAGGGAGTCAATCAACCTTTCCCTGGAGAATTCTAATGTGTCATCCCTTCTGTGAAACTTGGTTAGTAGAAGAA